ATATGTATACCCATTTGAATAAGTATGCATGGAACCATATTATGATCTGTATCGCTATTCCATGTGTGAGAGTTGGAGAAAAATATAGGACTATGGATACTGACTTGGAGTAAAGAATTGAAAAGAATACATGAAATAAAGTACTCTCTTCACCATTTGTCCCCACATTTACTATTAATACAAACTTGGAAAAATACACAAACTTTATTCAGCAGAACATATTAGATTAAAAAATATGCATGGCCTAATAATCGAACGGGTTTATCCATGTCTTGGAGAAGCTTCTCAATAAGACTAAAGTGCTATACATTAGTTTTGACTACACAAATTAAATTGGTGTTTTCCTATTGTCGGCTGGTACCGGGAGCTCAAGATGGAACAAAGAAGAAAGAAATAACAAATCATGCATTTCCCTAATTTTTGCTCTTTACCACATCACATGGGCACTATTGGATTGTTCTCTTATTCAATCTTGCTAGTTACGTGTAACAAAGAACTAAAACATCAATAAAGATAAAAGCACAAGCTACATAAAGGGATAAGAATAAAACTAAGCTAAAAAGTCAAATACTACAAAAAAAAAAAAATTGTTGACAATGATACCTTCGACTCTCAACTACAATAACAAATAACCTTCAGTATATCTTGAACAGTTCACAGAAAAACACATATAGAAAGCTTAAGAATAATAATGCAATTAAAGAATGAAAGAAATTAAAAAAAAAAAAAACCAGGACACATACCATGTTGATACCTACAGCTTGTCTTTAAGCAACTATTGATAAATGTTTCTAACGCTCACAACTTTAGTACCATTTACCTGCACAATAATATATAGGAGTCAAGTTTCTAATGCTGACAATGTAATAATAAGTTTTCCTTTAACAACAGCAAGAAATAAAAACTCTAACATCACACTCTCCAATCCCATTTAAGCTACTTGATCAATGATGAAAAATCATTTAAACTAAAATTTAGAATGTAGAAGGATGAAATTGTGATACTAGAAGTGAATTGAAAAAAAAAAATAGTTCATTAGGGTATGAGAATTTTAGAAAAGAATTTGGGAAGTTAAATGAGGCATAAATCTTAAATTAGTGTTAATATGGACTATAGATTTAAGACTTTCTAACTCTTTAAATTAGAGTTATTTATTTTAATGTAAAATTAATATATAGTATTGTGAAATAATTATGGAGATTATATTGACAAAGATAGTGGTGAAAAAGGAGTTGTGAAGGGGAACTTGTTATTCAAGACACAAGGTAACCATTATTAATGTGTTGTGATGAGTGTGTTTGTGAATGATTATGTGTTGTTTTGTTGTTTGGAAAAATTATGAATTATTGAAAATAAATACTGTATATACTTGTTTGAAATTATTGCCAAGTGGGTTAAAAATTTATTTTTTATTTATCATGATGAGATATTATTGTTCGGATATATTCCTGTTTGGATATTTGAATGATGCATGACTTGTCAGGGTATTTTAATGTATGGTGTTAATGGGAATTTCTGTTCGGTTAATTATTACCACGTGGTAAGCCCTCATTGGACCCAATGAGTGGCGTGTCGCTTGGTCCAACTCACCTTTGGCCGGGTGATTTGGCGTCCGAGGAGGATATAAGATGCAGTCATGCAATTAAATACTTGTTCGGTTTGTTTGAAAATATTGTTCGGTTAAATGTTTTGTGTGCCCACTTAGCAATCACATGATTAGTTACATTCGCATGCATCATTACATATTAATTTTTGGTTACTGGGACTTTTAAGTCTCATTCCCCGTGGTTAATATTTTTACAGGAGCGAATCCGGCCGAGAAAGCACCAGAGGTGTAATTATGGTGTATGAGACACCATCTTTTACGTTGCCTCTTATTTTGGATTATACAATGTATCTTGTGCCAACTTAGGATATATCTTGTCTATGGAGCATGTAAACTCTAATCCTTTTTATTAAATGCATTTATATGTCCAAGAGGATTATGTCTATCCCTTTTGATTCATGACCTAATTTGAATAACATACTATGAGAATCATGTCTGTCCCTCATGGTTCTAATTGCTTTTTGAGATATTTTAAGACCTGTGGTATATTATCTTGGATGTATCATGGTAGAAATTTTTCTACCATGATAAGGGTTCAATAAAAAAAAATAATTTGTTGAATTAATAATTTGCGAAAAATCAGTTTGTAAATTTGAGGGTATTACACAATACTTTTGTGGTATTGATGTCATGTGAGATACTCTAAAAGATAAAAAGAGAACAAAAAAATGTCACTCAATCTGTATGAAGGCCCGTGGTTGTGTTTACGCCTTGAATCCATCAAAGGGATGAACGAAACTATCAAGGTTGAGGAGTTTTTGTCACATCTTCCAATATGGCATGTTGGCATTAATAGATCTTTAGTCAAAATGTGGTTCAATTAACAGCCTTTCTAATTTTTTTAAGGAGAAAACACAGAACAGCATGTACATCCAATATAAGTACATACAATCTGACACAAAAATCAGAACATTAAAAAAAAATTAAATTCAAAGGGAAAGAAGAGAAAATATGAAATCTAAAAAGAAACAGGAGCACATTAAAAACCTCACCTCACTTTGATTGGCAATGTTTGCAGCAAAGTTATCTGATCGATGATCGATGAAATGGAAAGGAGAATCTTGATGGTTTAGAGGAACTCTTTAATCCCAATATCCTTGATCCTCATCTCCCCACACCATCCACTGCTTCAACGGCATCACCCTCTCCCCTGTTCGCCTGCTAAGATCGTCCTCATCATCAAACTTAGAGATGCCAACGCCATGGGAGAAATCAAAGGAGGAACAAAAGGAATAAAGAAGAGTGTTTCTGCCCCTGTTCGCTTGCTAAAATCGCCCTCATCATCAAATGTAAAGATGCCAATCCCATGGGAGGAATCAAAGGAGGGAGAAAAAGAATGAGGAAGAGAGTTTCTGATTGGAAATTGAAATTGGAGGAAAAAGATGAAGAAGAAAAGAAGATGGATAATTTAAGAGGAAAACAAAGAAGAAAAAATAATTTAGATCATTGAAAGAAGGTGAAGGGCTGATGGCTGGGAAGATAGAGCGTAGAAAATGGAAGGAGAAAACATAAATTTAACTCATTACATTTTACTCAGATTTTGTTATAAATTTCACAAGATTCCTACATTTTATTCATTTAAGACTTAGATCATTAAAAAAATAAAAGTATAGGAATTTAAAATAATTAAAAAAAATATAGAGACTTAAAGTTATATTTTTTACAAAATGAAAAATAAAATAGTAGGGCAAGAGTAGAAATTCACTGTTCGAGCAACTGTAGGTCTGGATTTTACAATACAAGAGAAATATAAATAATATAATATAATATAATAAGAGGATCTTATAATGAGAACTTGTAGGCTTGAAACTTGAAAGAAAACGTTAATAGCATGAAGGCCCAAATATTATAAGTCTTGGGCTTAGCTAAGCTCTGCTTTAAAGGTATGAAATGGTTGTCTGAAACACACTAATGATTGAGGGCCTACCTATAGCCTTTTTTCCTCCGTGTGAGTTATCGCTATATTTATACGCAGTCCGCTAAAATGAATGCGAGGTATATTTGTAGTGTGACGCAACTAAAAATTTCATCGCAGAAGCTGAAGTAAATCACTTGCTATCTAAATCTATCATGTTGCTAATACAAAACAACATCAATCACACGACCATCTCCAATCTAATTTCATCAACGTTGCTTAACGTGTTTAACAAAGTAACGCATCCCTTTTTTTATAGCCAATATTTCACGCCACTAACCAGGTGTCCTCACACAAACATAACGTGTCAAGTCAAGCAATGGACCCTTTGCCGTCCACTTTGGGGAAAAAAACATCCTCTGCGCATTCATGCCCATATTAATGTTGATATTATTAATATTAATACTAAATAAAAAATTTATATCATATGTAAAGTAAAATTTATAACATCCCTTGCAAATAGTAGGCTTTTTTTTTTTTTTCTGTGAAGACCCATTTAGCTTGGTAGATGCTCTTATCAATAAAATCATCAATATGTAATCATATATAAAACTCGAATGGTGCCTTACTTTTTTGGGCTCATAAGCTGGAAAGTTTGAGAAAAAACGACAGAATATCTTGTCAAGAGTCTTTTAATCCTTACGTTATTGTTAATGAAGTTTTAATTATAGTTGATGACACTCTGAGAGTGAAAGAATTTTGTAGCAAACTTAACAGTAGGCTTATAATGTAACCTGTTGCTGCCTATTCATGGTTATTCCCACTGCTTCGTGTTCGTGATCTGTTTTCTTTATTTGTACACCAGGACCTCTCTGTAAAGCTCCTTTGATGAATGATTTTTTTTTTTTTTTGGGTAGAAATTTGATGAATGAAATTTTGTCACTCAACACCCCCCCCCCTCACATTGGGGGCTTAACGAGTATATACAAAACTACAAAAGGGACGATGTCCTTGAATTTCAGTTAAAAAATAAATGTGCTGCCTCCCATCTAAGTTATTTTTTAAAAAATTAAATGTTTAAAAATAAAAGATATTTTTAGTCTTTCGAAATGTAATCATTGTCTTTTTTTTTTAAGTTCTCTTATTAATAATGACTTTATATTTATTGTAGGATATTTAATAGAGATAAATATAAAAAGACAGAGTTAGTTAAAAAATAAAGCAACTACTTTATTGAGAGATAAAATTTGATTAAAAATTCTTTATATTTTTAAATGGAGGAAGTATCTTTATAATTTTATTGAATTTTATTTTTAATCTCTATAACTTTTTTAATATTTTAATCCTTATAAAAAATTAAAAAGATTGAAAAAATTGAAATTATAAAAATTATAAAAATCTAAAAACAAACACATCTAATTTTTCTGAAATTATAAAAATTAAAAATATTTAAAAATTATAAAATTAAAAATAAAATTTAATAAAATTATAGAGGTATTGTGCCGGAAAAGAAAGACCCCAGAATAGACGTTTCTTTCGGTGCCATTTTTGGAACGGCGCCGTTTCCTCCGCAAACGGATCTACCATTCCATGTCTACCCGTTGCTTCGTAATTTGCTTGAACACAAAACACAGAAAGAATTGCAGCCATCTGCATCAGGAGCTCTGGTTTCAGTGTGATTTGCTCTCCGGCTTCGCTATAATCGGCATGTCTCTCTTGTTTTCTAAATTTCAAGTCGTTTTATTTTTTGTTATTGTTTAATTTGCTGATAATTTTTCTTCAGCCTGGGTGCTGCTTAACTGCTAATGTTGTCAATATATAATGATTAAAACAGTACTGTATGATTATGAAACCATGGTGCTATCTGATTGAGTGTGCTTTTCTCATTTGCTTACAAGAGCTGTGAATCGCGATTCAAATATCAAATAAAGCTATGGTGAAAGACACTACTTACTACGACATATTGGGCGTTAAAGTTGACGCATCCCCTGCAGAGATTAAGAAGGCGTACTACTTGAAGGTGATACTTCAGTCGTACTTTGTGCAATTTTTGAAAGTATATATGAGTACAGAATTGAGATTTGAGTAGGCCTCTAAAGCACGGTCCGTGTGCGAAAGGAATGTGAAGTACTATGAAAGCGGTTTGATCATGACATTCAATTCTTTTATTAAACGAAGACTCTTAAATAGTTAAATCGCGTGGTTTTTATGGATGGTAAACTCTTCACTTATTTGACTTGTACAATTTCTTTTAGTTTGAATTATATTAGAATTTTGTGTTCAATAGAATGAGCTTATGGTCTTGTCTAGTCTTCTTGTTCTTCCTGTAAATGCACCCATTAGATGGTAGCTTGCAATGCACTTCTGATGCAGACTATCAGGAAGCTAGTTTATTTAGATAGGTTACTGAACCTTTTGCTTTGCATTGTCCTTAGAAAGTCTAATTATTTGCTATGTTGGTAACATGAATTTTTGGTGAGTTGATTGCAAGTAAGAGAAGAAAAGTAGGTCTCTTGTTCTGAATTTTCCATGATATATATATATATATTTTTAACGTGAGCACTATATATCTGTGTCAATATAACCCTTTATTTATATTTTCTTGTCTTTACAGGCAAGGGTAGTTCATCCAGATAAAAATCCTGGAGATCCTAAGGCTGCAGAAAATTTTCAGGTATGCTAAAGAATGAATCTTATGTAAAGAGTTTTGGCCTCTTAGATATTTATGATAGTACTGGAGTTTACTAACAAAACCATTTACTTCCTTGGGTAAAGTTCTGAGTATGGCATCTGAAAGAGATACGATTTAGTTAACTCTATTAATAACTAGATTTTATCCCCTGCAGTAATGCAGTGGGAATGAAAAATTTTTCTCCTTAAAAAAGAGTTCACATGTTGTGAGTTTAATAGGAATTCTGTAGTGTTTTTATTCGAATTTTATATATGTAATGATGATGACCTTTTTCTTTCATGAGTTGGATTGATTGGAAAGTGAGCTGAAGACCAATAATCAGGGATATTTAACTTATTTCATCAATGGTTTCTTCCACAAGCCTTTTGATCCTTTCTCTCTTCCAACCTCCTTTCCTCCGTCACCTCAATATACTTTTTAAATGTGGTATCTATGCTCAGGTGCTTGGAGAGGCTTACCAGGTTTTGAGTGATCCCGAGAAGCGTGAAGCATATGATAAGAATGGAAAGGAAGGAGTGCCACAGTAAGTTTGTACACGCATCGATAATTGAAAGTAATCAAAGTTTGCGAGTATTCTATCATTTGGTGAAGTTCTGTCTTTGCGGCTTAAAGCTAAAAGTCATGTGTTTGGAATGAAACTTTCTAATTATCTGTTTCATCTTTAATGATATTTCCTCTTCTCATTGTTTTCTTCTTCTGTTAGTCAGTATTTGTAACAAATGGGTGTGATGATTATATTTGATGATGCTTGCTTTTGTTGTAGCTTTTATATAAGAAAGAAAATTAATCAGATATTTCAGTATTTGAAAGCTGTTTAGATAGTGTTTGACTGCTGTTTGCTAAAATCTGAAATATGATTTGATTTCATTACGTGGAAGTTGCTATAATAAGATTTTTTAGAATTTTGGTGGAGGCCAAATGCCCAGGAGTTTTACTAACTGCTGGTGATAATTTCCATCTTCTTCCTATTCTCTGCAGAGATTCCATGATTGATCCCGCATCTGTATTTGGAATGCTTTTTGGAAGCGAATATTTTGAAGATTATGTTGGAGAACTCGCATTGGCTTCTCTGGCATCTATAGAAGTTGAAGAAGACACACATGATCCTGAAACTCGTAAGCAAATAATTCAAGAAAAGATAAAAGTACATGCCTTTTCTCTAGTGCTTTAATTGAGTTTCTCATTCCCTGTTTCCCTACTCTTTCCTTTGCTGTCCCCATCTTCTAGTAGCTGAAGCTGTTTCCTAGTTTTGTTCCAATAGGCATGGCAGAAGGAAAGGGAAGGAAAGCTTATTGCCACTTTAAAAGATCGCCTGCAGCCATTTGTTGATGGTCGAGTAGATGAGTTCACAAAATGGACAAATTTAGAAGCACAGCGTCTTTCTCAAGCTGGTAAGTTTTTCCTATTTATACTTTAATTCCTATAATGGCCCTTTTTAAAGATGTATACCAACTTGGAAAGTTTATATAAAATCTCATAAATATTTCTCCATATTTGTGTTCCCATGTCTGCTTATCTGAAACTGTGGGAAATCACAACATAATTGCTGATCATATTTGTTATGATTTTATTCTGTTATTAATAAGTTTTGAGTTAGTCAACTTTACCTGTCCATTTTGGAATGTTTGCTCCTTGATTCTTGGGATTGAATAGGTAGCTTAGTGGCCATCATCCATTAAATATTTGTAAGGCGTGCTACCATGAAATGTAACTTCCAGTCAGAGTAAAGATCTCTGAAATTTTACGTGATATTAGAGCCTTGCAGAAATTGTTCTTATAATAGTTCCTTTACCAGGCATTTTTCTTTAACTCATTCTATTTTCAGCATTTGGTGAGGCCATGCTACATACAATTGGTTATATATATACGCGAAAAGCTGCAAAAGAACTGGGAAAGGACATGCGGTATATGAAGGTTCCCTTTTTGGCAGAGTGGGTTAGAGGTAAAGGACACATGGTGAAGTCACAAGTGATGGCAGCTTCAGGTAGTAGATTGATTAATATTTGGGGATCCTACTCAGTTAAAAAGTATCTAGACCTTGTCATAAATTTGGGAAGGTTTTAATGAAGTTGAGCTCTGTTTGTAGGTGCTGTGTCCTTAATTCAAATACAAGATGAGCTGAAGAAGCTAAGTGATGGAGAAAACAAAGAAGAAAATGTTCTAAAAGTTATTGAAGATAAGAAGGATGCTATGATTAATTCCCTTTGGCAGATCAATGTGGTTGATATTGAAACAACTCTGTCACATGTCTGCCAAGCTGTAAGTTTTCGTTCGAAGCTTTCTGTTGCTCGATATTAGATTTGTCTGCTGGCTAATCAAATTACAGAAAAATAGTACTTCACAAACTTAAACAGTGAAATATTTCAAGCATGTCTTCACTTGCCAGGCCCAATATATGCTATCTTTTATTGTCAAATTTACATCATTAGGTTCAAGATGATTAAACTAGTAATGTGGTTCATACATGAAAATTAGTGAGCGCACAAATTGGTTTTAAAAATTACTTAAAAAATCTCATTTTACATTAATCCATTCATCAACCTACCCGAAGATGGGGCTGAAAGAACAAACGTTTGGGAATTTGTTTTATTGGAACCTGTCCACTCCCTTTTATTATTAAAGCGAAATAAATTCTCCAATCTGGGAGACTTGACACCTCTTGGAAAGTGGGAATTAGTATCATATGCTGGAAATTATGGGAAGCGTGGAACCATAGAATTTTACTGACGAACAGTATACTGTTGATTCATTCCTTGTACATGTTCGAATCTTAGTAGATCATGCCCTTTGAGTTTTTCTTACACTTAAGTCTCTGATGTAAATGGCTTTCTGCCGTTTTTGTACCTGTGCAGTTTCATTTTAATGATATTCCCCTTTCCACTCAAAAAAAGCTAAATAGGGCTCACAATCAAGCAGTTATAACGTTAGTAACTTGATTAAATATATTTGGTGTACCATGAGTGCTGGTAATTATTAGTTACACTCAAGCTAAAGTGTAAACATTTCTAACGTTGATTAATTATTTTAAAGCATAAATGTCTTGCGAGATTTCAAGAAAACTATTCTTGCACCTGTGATTTTTCTCAGGTTCTTAAAGATCCCAGTGTGTCTAGAGACGTTTTGAAACAACGGGCTCAAGCCTTGAAGAAGTTAGGAACGGTCTTCCAAGTAAGTGTTATGTGCTGATTTGTAGTGTTTGTGCATTTACAAGTTTACAACAACTTGTAAGATTCTGTAAGAAGAATGTTCTAATTAATCATGGATCAATCATTTCCATAGTCAGCTGTTCATCTTGTTTATATCTAATTAAGAGTGCTTCGTTTTCTATTCAGGGTGCTAAGGCTGCTTACAGTAGAGAAAACAGTTTACGCCATGAAAGTGCCAAAACTGGAGATGCTGCTTCATCATCATAGTCATCTTGATGCGTTGTGGAGGATAGAGATGGTGCTTCGTGTTCATTATGTTCGGTATGTTGTGTTGTGCTGAATTGATTTATTTCTTACGCTGTTGGTATATGTGCATGGTATGTATTTTATTTTCTTTTATGTTGGTCATTACAGTCTTGTATCAGAGTTTGTTGAAATTATTCAGTTCCTGGGCGGTCCCAGGGGAGCCTGGCATGTAATTTGACTTGTAGATTGCGCTAGAAGCAAGTGTTGCTTTCTTTTTAAGTGCTACAATGCATGAAGACTAAGACGAGTCATACTATTTATAGTATTATAGATTTTATATATATTAATATTGATATCCCTGGCAAGTAAATCTACATTGTTGATGAAGAGATACTTTTTATTTCATGTTATTGATAAACAAATTTTCTGAGGTGGGTAATACCCTCCACATCAGTTTAAATACATTCAATTCAATGACTGAGTGCCGATATATCAAGTTGGCAGTAAAAGTAAATAAATGGAAGTTCAAGTGTAGGCTGTCATATGGTATGCTTGGTACTTAATATTGTCGGTGTATTTACATAGTCAATATTTATCTAGCAAGTTTTCATTGCCGAAAGGCCTTTGGACCACAACAGAGAACACTGCGGGCACTATCTGGTAAAATGAACAGTAACCCCCACCCCCAAAACACACACGTACTATTCATCCCCTACACTGTTAGATTTAGATCATCACTTTCTGGGCGTGTGTGTGGAACTTTTGACTTAAAAATGTGACACAACGGAAGTCTTGTTCAAATTTAGGACTTCTTTCGATCATTAATTTTCATAAAAAGCATACTTCCTCCGGTCTTATTTATAAGTCATTTTTATCAATCTCATCAATTTAAATTTAAAAGTACAAGGAATAAAAGTAAGTAAAATTTTAAATATGTTTCTATATAACAAATCTTAAAAGTAATGTCCTATTACTTTTTATCTAAATGCCTTTTAAATATTACTTAAAAAGACGCATTGTGATTTATAAATGAAATTAAATAGACCTTTTAAAATAAGACTTATAAATGAGATCGGAGGAGTAAAAGGCAATTAAAATATTGGTGTGGTGTGAAATGCTGAGAAGATCTCAATCCAAATGGTATAAAATAAATTCATCCCCACTTAAAAAGAAGAGAGACCCGCAATATAATGCAACATAGTTGTGATGATGGCAAATAGCACTCTAAAACCTCGTGTTAGATATAATTATCGTGAGTTACAAAAGTTTTCTGCAAAGTACACTAGACAAATCGCCCCCGGCGCGCGCACATGTAATTATTGACGCTTTACTATGTTACGATGACAAATCATTCCACTCTATCACTTGATACGTATTTAGATGTTCTAGAAGCATGCATGCAACATTATAGAGTCCACAACCAGAAAAACTTTTTTTTGTACAAAGCTACAGTAAAAACTGTGCAGAGGTTACAAAGGTCAAATCATAACAGAATCTAAGATGATTTTACATCATATAGGCAATTTATTAGAAATAATGAGATCGGAATTGTCATGAAAAATTTGGCGTGCCAACATATCAATGCATTTGTTTGTTTTTCTGAAAATATGATCAAAAATGATTGTTTAATGTTTCATAGCAAGCTCCTAAATGCCTAATAATTCAGCTACAATATTAGGATGATAGTCAAGATATTTTAAAAATTTCATAATTCAATTCTTTTCTTATTGCAAATGACTCAACCACTTGCCGCTCCCCTAAAGGAGTTAACAGAACTATCTATATCAAGTCTGACCCACTCTACTTTCGGAGGACACTAGTTTGCTTCAAATCTAAGTCTGTTTTTATTTATAATATTCGCTCTTGATAGAAGTCACATACCACTGATTATTTGTTAGATACAAGAGAAGACAATATCTTTGTCATGATTGTCCTCTATTAAAAAACATTTTTATATTATTTAGCCAACCATACAAAGGAAGGTATTGTGCCCTCTCATAATATCATGGCCAATGCTAAATTACCAACCATTTTGGTTTGTGTTGAGAGCTGAGCAATTGAGGAAGCCTAGGATGATCATGCTTGATTTAGGGAGGCTGAAAGAAAATGAGAATCCTGGCCTTGGACCACTTTCAAGAAAAAAGAAATGGGACAAGATAAGTGTGTGTGTTCTATTGTTATCACATTGCATCCCTTTATTCTCCACCAGAGTAGCATTTGTTGTCTCGTCCTTGTCGTTTAGGATCATCGGAAGCACTTGTCTTCCACATATAATTATTTTATTACGCCAACCTAGTGTCTCATTTCCAGCCTCATTCATCTTTTATATCTAGGCACGCTTTCTACTGTTCTTTTTCACACCCTTTTAATGTGGCTCACTAATTACAATTAAAGTAAATTACTAAATCGTATTATATTCTCCTTGTTTAAACAAAAAAATAAAATCTAAACTATAGATGACCCTCCATTATATTTTAAAAAAATTATACGCATCAAAATATGAAATATGACTTTTTTAAAAACAAATAGATAGTAGTCCTTCATCATGCATGGCAACAAATTCAAAAATTGAGCACTGATATTCATGATTTGTGAATGTGTAATGCAACATGATTGACATTTTATTATATACATTGATGATTGATATTGATTGAGAAATTACAATTATATTTATTTTGATTAAAATATAATTAAATCTATTGTTTATATATAATAAAAACAAGTACTACATATTTGTATAAAAATGTCATTTCTAATATTAAATAAATTGTACAAAATGCCTTTAATACATTATATTTTATAGAAAATAATTGAAATTGATATCATCTTTGAGAATGTGTTCGTCATATTTTAACTTTGAAGAGAGTTGTGTATATTTTGGTTATAATAATAAAAGTTGCTGTCCAAGTTAAGAAGACATCTATATATATATATATATATATATATATATTAAAGGGCGTGAGATATTAATTTACTCTCAGTTATGATATCTTCGAGTCTTAACCAAGCAAGAGTTTGTGTTGCTTTTATTTCAAGTTAAATCACCGAAAAAAGTTACAAATCTTATGATTAACTACCAACTATTGAGATAAATACATCATATGTAACTATAAGTTGATGTTATGATATATATATTTCAAACGATTACACTGTAATTTTTCTAGTTTCAAAATAAATGAATTACTTTGACACAATGAATGGCAGACCAAAATTAAAAGAGGTAGGGTTTCTTCTCTTTGGGCATATGAGGGATTATGATTTGTTGTAAAGCATAATGAGAGGGCAGCCCAATAATTTGCAGAAAGGTCAAACTTCAAGTATTAAATATATCACTCCACTACCTTCAAAACTTCATGAGTGCCCCAAAACAAAAGCAAAGTGCTTTCCTTTACCTTTTTCTCTGATATGTTTTATTATTGATGAATTGCACTAGGCAGCCTGAACAAGTGTCCAATTTCAAGTCCTTTCTCTGAGGTTTCTCTCCCGTTGGGAAATAATATAGATAGGAAACATATCCACCTATCCATCACTCTTGCTTCTCCAGTTTCATCAGAAAATAACACAGTTTATTGCATTTCATGCCTCTCATCATGATCATGCTTCTCATCATCAACAAGTTCAAGTTTAGCTTCCTCCTCCTCCTCCTCATTTCTGGATCACTTTTTCCCACTTCTTTTGCAGGTTCGTTTCTTTCTTTCTTTCTTTCAATTAAGTATTCCCTGTCGGCTGTTGGTTCTGAAGCGATCACATTGTCACACATGCTTGCACTGCTAAAAGCAATAAGTTGAAGATACAAGCTAAGTGAAACAAAATTCCTTGACTGGTACTGATACAAAATGGATTTTTTATGGAATGCATATATTTCGGTTAGCTTTGCTTGGCTTGCAAAACATGTATAATCTGTTAGAGCTTCTTGCTTGATCGTATTCATATAATTAAGAGCGAAAGGTGGCGTTTGTGGGTGAGCTAACTTAAGCTTAATGCATTAAAATTGCAGGAAGAGGATCGAAATTTGTCAGTGAGCTGGATGCAGAATATCATGTGGGAGAGGTATGCATGTGTATGAACTTAATTGTTGGTTCGTTTTTGTCTCTTTCTCTCCGTAGAAGGATTAGAAAAATCTTTGCTCTTCTATTAATGTTTATATATATATATATATTACGCAGCTTTCTCTTTAAACATCGTTATAGCAACAATATTATTTTGCTGCTTCTTTCTAGCTGCATAATGCATTTTATATCAAAGATTATAAGCAACTGAAAGTGGTATAGTTTTGAAGTTTCCGTGTTGTGTAATTCACGAAGACAATTCAAAGGTATAGTGAAGCTTGCTTTTATGTGTACATATATATATAATTATCCATATTATTTTGAGGAATTAATATATTAATATCTATTTATACACGTATATATTTTATATGGCATGCAGGGAACATTGCTGAACAAGGAAGAAATAGAAGTCATTCACGGAAGGCTTCTTTGGGGGGATTACGGGAGATATGATCCATCCCCAACCTTCTATAGGCCTCGACACAAGATGATTCCTAATTGATAATAATGGTTCCATATGACACGAATCTGAATGAGTCTGAATGGGTGGTATTAACATTCTCAAGTTTTTCAGGGTATATTGATTGAATAAAAAAAAAAACTATTATTCTCCCTCTTTATATATATATATATATATATATATGTATAATAATAATAATCGCAGAGTTTGTGTAGACAAAAATAATATGGTTACATACAGATATGTTTAGCTTTAGCTTATGTGTAATTTAGAAGGCAGCTTGGAGCATGTCCAGATGATATACTTGGTTTTCTGTTAATCTTCTACATGGTCATGAGCTAAGCTAATTATTGAGCTTAATCTATATATCTGTGTACTCTACATGTACCACCAAACTTATACGAGATCGAGAAAGAATTATCCTATAGATGTTTTTATGTATTAGATTAAATTACATAGTTTCTCTTAAAAAATTTTCTTTGAAATTATGCAAATTACTCCCTTTTTTTTTAAACATGCGCGTCATTAAAAAGGAAAAGTTGTAATATTAATTTTTCCTCGCACGGCCTTCAGTAACTGGAATTTTTAAGACTTACTAATTTCCGGGGAAAAAAAACCTGTTAATTAATTATAAACTTTTATGGAGCCTGGAGAGAGAGGAGAAAAAAATTGACTAGGAGAACAAAAAATAGACCTTTCCCCTCATCTGTTTTTTGTGTATTCAGTGAATAGTTAAATAAATAAATTCTATATTTACAATTTACCCACGCTGACATGCATGTCAATGTAGAGTTGGGTTGGGAGTAGCCCACTAAAAATTTATAAATTTTTTAGCAATTATAAGTA